TTAAAGGGCTTTGTCTTTAAAATGCCAGGTCTCATTATTGACGCTTTTGGAGAGCTGAGAGACCAGCAGGAACAAGTGAGAGAAGATATGGAGGTAACAACTTCTAAGTCTGGCTACGTTTGTGTATCCCCACAGCAAGTGCATGATTTGGACAACAGGGTCTGCTCTAGGCAAAACTGCAGTCTGTTTTCCTCCCCTGTCTGCTCCCCTTCTCTGAGCCTATTATCTGCCAGCTCTGGGCATTTCTGCTCCTTCTCATCCCCGCTTCCACGGTCCTGATGGAGGAAGCCAGGGAGTGAATGACTCACAGCCATGAGCAACAGAGAAATCATTTTCAAGAATTATCAGCGCAACAGGGACCACCACCCTTTTGCCTCCTGCTTCTGTGGTGCCTAATGCTTTTTCTGCCTGTTATTTCCTTAGACTAAATGCTTCATCTGTGGCATTGGCAATGACTACTTTGACACAACCCCTCATGGCTTTGAAACACATACATTACAAGAGCACAACTTGGCCAACTACCTGTAAGTATTCTTGGTTAGCAGAAGTGACAGGGGCGGTGAGGTGGGTAAACCAGTGTGTTATGGTCCGTTCTCTCTGCAAAGAGTAGAAGCAGTTAGGAAAGGGCTCCAGGAGCCTGTATCTTTGTGTTCCCTCAGTAGTAGGGGAGAGACAAAGGCCAGCCTCAACCTGGGATTAGACCCCATGCCCTCTCAAGGCAATGTCCCTACTGGATTGTTCCTATCACCATACAAATAGGCTCCTCTTTTTGAATCCTAAAGACAGCTGGTGGCCCCATTTTTACCTCTAGCTCTGCCCCACTTCTCTTTCAACAAAACTTGAAAACTGACCCTGCCCCTGTCCCCACTTTTTCCGCTCCCCATTCTCCTCTGAGAAACGTCACCAGGCGCGGTCTCTTGGTGGCAGTGGGGGTCAGGGACCTGCATGTTGCTGCACCTGTCACCACAGCTGTTCTTTTAGTAATACCTGAGCTCCATGAGAGAGGAGTATTTTAGGGTGTGGCTCTTCTCACTGCCAATGCCTGCCCCCTAAAAGGCAAATAAATGATTCATTTTTTCCTAAGGCGAAGCATTCACTCAATTTATGGAGTTTATAGATATTACCTGATAATTCAGATTTTTTGATTATTTTCAAGAACAGCATTGGGTTCTATTCTCTCCCCATTGTATTACTGAAAATGTCCTAATCCTTCTTTAAGATGGTACTCGCCCAGCTTTGAAGAAAGGTGCTACAGGTTAAACAGCCCTAATCCAAAATAATGCCAGAAGGGGAAATTTACATTTGACCTCATGTGATGCACTGCCGTCACTCCTTTTTCACCCGTCTGATGTGGAAGGGAAACCAGGGCTCCAGGAGAAGCAGAGATGGGGTTCTGACGTCAGACCTCGCCACCGCCCATCCTGGCCTGTGGTCCAGACTTGAGGAGTGACTGCTGTGGTTACTTTGAGCAGAAGAGGGAGGAGAGTGGTGAGGCCCCTATGAAGCCTTGAAAACAAAAGGGTCTTGTGTCCCTCTCCCTTAGAATAGTTGCCATGATCTCATGAGCAGGACCCCTGTTCCCCAGCCCACTGGTTCATCAAGTGCAGGGACACTGGGTTCTGTTCACAAGGGGAACCAGGGGCAAGCCCGGAAAAGCTTGCAAGTAGCTCCAGGGTACATTCAGGTAACCGGTGGGTCCAGAAAAGTCGTGTTGGCACTGGGCAGCAGTCAGTGGGCACCTGCTGCAGGGCTGTTTCCTGTCTGCATGGGAGTCACAGTAGTGTGGGAGGGAGTGTGAGAGAGAGGGGTGAGGAAGGAGGTAGACAGGGCTGAGCTTAAAGAATGCACCCACTAAATGTTGGCTCTTAAGAAAACACAGGTACACTGAGTTATAGTAACAATGTATAAAAAGTATAGAAACATAAGTGAGTTTTATGTTTAGACCTGGGTCCCATCCCCTAAGACACCATACACACACAATTATTCCAAAGTCCAACACACTTCTAGTCCCAAGTATTTCAGGTAAGGGATATTCAACATACACTGTTGAATATAAGTGATAAAATGCCTTTTGGCTAGAATGAGTTTGTTAAAACAAAAACACAAGTTTCTTTAAAAAAAATTAGCATTTCCTTCTCATGTATGAGTATTTATCTTGATTGTCATGAAGTTTCCATCTTAATGGAAGTGGACAGGAAGCACTCCCATGGAAGATAAGCACTTGGCCAAAAATCATTGACAGTGGGTTATAGGAAACTGAAGGAATGCTATGTAACTACGTTACTGCCCCCATTTGGCCTGAGGGAACAAAACCCAACATAGTCACATTTGAACCTCCTCCCCAAAACCCTGCTTTGCCAAGTAAAGAAATATCTCAAGAAGGGAATGATGTCTTCTGTGCCCAAGTCTCAGACATGGTAAAGGGAGGGATCCTGCCTCCTTGTTAGTTTTGGTAAAGCAAAAGGGAGAGTGAAACAAACACCCTTAGGGCCACATCTGGTGGCCAGCTTCCTCTGCCCTGCCACCCGCAGGATAGTATTTCTACTGTGTCTTCGTCACCACCAGCCTCACACTCCTTTTCCTGAAGGGCACAGGCCGGGTTCTTTCAGATCACATAACACGAGCAGACAGTTCAGTCCCCGGGGGTACTCATGTATCAGAGACTCAGACCTTCGAGCTCTATCACAGTTAGAGCAAGTGGAAGCACACAGGCCTCTCTCAGCTGCCTATAATAAAAACACTGAGATGAAATACTTTCGACCTTTTTCATGACAGATATTCTTGAAACACCTCATCTCAGCTCTGCGGATTTTATAAGATGATAAAATGACCTATTTAAAATTATGACAAGAATTTGGCCTACAAGTTTATTGTTTTGATTGGAATTTTCTTTATAAACTAGTAGCCAAAACACTATCTTGCAAGTGATTACAGCTCAAGGTTTGGAGATGGTAAAAATGCTCTCTTCTCCAAAGAGGCTCGTTTTCAGATTAACATGCATTACTGTAAACCATGGTTTGTGGCCTTCTGTACCATTTCTCAGGCTTAAGAGACGGCCTGGACATCATGATGCCAAACGTCTGCAACTTGGTTCCAGTTTACCCGAGTAAATGAATTTCTGTCTCTTACCTTTTCTCCTTGCTCCAGGTTCTTTCTGATGTATTTGATTAATAAAGATGAAACAGAGCACACGGGTCAGGTGAGAAATAAAATGCCTTGAACTGGAGTTATAGGCCTGCATTAGCTCTTCCCTGAGACTTAGCAGTGCCCATGATTTCTAAACCAGTCTCCCGCATGCATTCTTCCACCATCTCTTTGTGACTTAAGAAGCCAGAATTCCACGGCAGCCTCAGCCTCTCCCAGAAGTCCTCCTGGTAATGCTTGGAGGGGCAGGGAAACGGGCTCGAGGACAAGACAATGAGAAATGGAGTGGGGGTGGCCAGAGCCAGAGCGGCAGAGTGAAACGGTGTGCAGGACAGCCAAGTGGGGGGTGACAAAGGGAATGCAGAGGTGCCGGCAGGGTGGGGCAGGAGACTCTGCGACTAAGTGCAGAGAAAGAGCAAGGTAAAAGCTGGCCATCAGATACTCGCGTTTCCAGCTGTGGCTTCAGCCCAAGGAGCATCCGTGCCTTCCTCCTTCCATCTCCCACCAATACTCTAAACCTTAAGTATTGCAGGAAAAAGAAAACATGCCATTTGCCATCATGAAGATTCTCCAAAATGTCCGTGGAAAATGTGGATGTCAAAGTTGTTTTACATCAAAATAAACATGTTTTAATTGCATCTTTGCATGAATGCTTTGCAGTGCCCTCACATAAGTTCACATCATTCTTCCTAAAGGGAGCCACTTATTTTGTGTTTGCTCTGCGTTTTAGCTACTGTGGTTTAAAAGGAAGTATCCCCTCTGTTCACATTGTTTCAGGAATCCTATGTCTGGAAGATGTACCAGGAAAGGTGCTGGGATTTCTTCCCAGCAGGCGACTGCTTTCGCAAACAGTATGAAGATCAGCTTGGATAAAGCTGAGTGAAAGCTACAGCACGACACTGGACGGTCAACTTCCAGTGAAATGAGAATTCATGTCCTAACAGTTCTGTGGCATAGTTTTGAAATGGTACATGTTCTGAATGCCCCCTGTATCTGTGCTCTTTGGAAACTGACTTGGCTTTCTGTACCCCATGGACATACACCATAGGTAATAGCCCATCAAAATGTTAACAGCATGGCAAAGAACGGAGGCATTTCTACTTGAGTGCCTTCAAGTTTTGCAGTTCTGATGTAACTCGTTTGCTGGTAGGGTAGCATTTAGGAAACAGCTAGAGAAGTATAAAGTCTGGAGTGCGTAATACCTGAAATTTGAAATGCCCGAATGTCATATGACTGTCTCCCACCTGTGACTCATTGTCTGAATTTCAAAAACTCATTTTAACTGCAGTCTAATTTTTTCCATGGTACCTGCTAGTGACTGTATTGAGAATCAGCTTGAAAAGCTTTAAGCAGTAAAAGAAATAGAAAACAACAACACTTTATCGACACTGAAATATCGGTTAAGTGCCTTAAAAACCTCTTTAGATATAGCTATGCAAGTTTATTTTTTATGTTTGTGTTCCAGAAAGACAGTTCCATTAATTAGTTGTGTTGATCTTCTGTCTTTATGAAATTGCACTTGAAGGTTCTTCATATTTCTTTTTCAGTAACAGCTTGTCAACTGCTGTTATTAGAAGAAAAGTACTGTACTGAAAATTCAGAAAACTCTCAATCTTATGCCAAAATTGAGTAACGCTTTAGGGTCCCATGTAAGTAGTGGAGCTGCAATGTTTAGGTGAATCTCTGCAAATCAAAGTGCCCACTGCAATAAAGTAATACATACCACTCCACGTTTGGCTTCTTGCAATGCGCCACTGCTATTGGATCCACAGCTACGCTGTGACTACTGGGGAAAGAAATATGACAAAGAGCCTAAGGCCTCACAAAAGAAACAGGAGGAGGGGAAAAAAAAAAACCACAGACCAGGGTTTGTTTATTTTGGCCAATGTTGCCTGCATCTATTCCCTTAATCAGCAGCACCTGCTACAATGTAAACACGGAGAGGAAGAAGGCTGGGGACAAGGGGCAGTACCACCCCCTGTCCTTAAGGAAGCTTATTACAGCATTAAGCCAGAAGACAAATGCCTCGTACATGTTCGGGTGTTGTCAAACAGAGGTAGGCACTGACTGCTGTAAGCATAAATGGAACCCCCCGGCCTGGGGCATGCTTGTAAACCCACGGTTCCTGGATACTAGCCTCATGCCTGCCCTCGTGGAGAAGGCAACCACCATTTTCTTCAGGCACTTTTTGTTTGCTTGTGTGGGTTTAGGAAATCATGCTGTCCAACCAGTCCTCCAGCTCTTCTTCGGTGACGGTTTTGGATGTACTTCCTTGCTCAGGTTCCACGTTCTTTTCTTCAGCCCCAGATGGCTTTGCAGGAACTGGGGAAATACAAGCAACGTCACCTTAGTCCCGGAAGCAAGGGGGAAAGCTTCTTAGCATTTGTTTCAAGATATAACTCAGCCCTTATTACTCTCCTTACAAGGGGGAAACATTCTTATTGTTACTCCCGAAGACGATGCAATAATATCTAAACAAATTAGAGATCTGCTCTTCTGTTTATTCTGAAATTGAAGTTCACAGGTGAATAGTAGCTGCTTTTTGTTGTTGCTGTCAAAAACCAGTAGCTCAGTATTCCTTTACTAGTCTAGCAATCCTGGAAAAATCACTAAAGGGTTCCAAATGCAGTCTATGGATGGGGTAGTCACCCTAGGCCTCCCCGTAGCAGATGGGCCACCGTCTCACACAATATGCACAAATGAGAAAGCGTTTTTCTTTGGCAGTAAATAAGATCAAAATAACAAGAAAGTTATCGAGAGCTGGTTTCTAGGCCTATTCAGATGATCGATTAAAAGGCTTGCTGCCGAAGAACTGAGGGCTTCAGGTATCTTAATGCCTTTTTACAGCACAAGTTCAATTTGCAGCCCCAGGCTTTGCCACTGCAACCAGGCAGGTAGCAACCTTGGGAGCTCGGTGTATCGAGCTGGGGGATGTAGTCAGAAAGGTCGGGGGGTGGGGGGCAGAGGAGATGGGAGCAGAGAAAGAGATGTCTGTGGACAACGCTGGGTCAATGTCAGACACCAAGGCGGGGCTGCTCTCCACCACCACCAGGATCACAGAGGAGGAGGAGGGAGGGAGGCCACGCCGTACCTTTTTCCTCTTGGGCCATCTCCCCGTCTTCCTCAGGTTTCAGGTCCTGAGATGTCTTGCCTAGTAAGTTATCTTCCTCTTTCACAGGTGCATCTAAATTAAGCAACAGATCTAGTTCCTCTTCCAAATGGTCTGCCGCGGACTCAGGGGAGGAAGCCGGTTTCTGAGGACCGCTGGAAGGACCAAGGGGCCCGGGGCAGGCGGCAGATCTCAGCTCAGAGAGGGACCCCTTTAACTGCATCCCTGTGCCCTTGCTGTCATCTGGTCTCTTTGGTTTCACTTGAGGAAGCTCTAAAGGAACAGTGCTCTGAAAGAGAAGTAGAAGTGAGTGGACCATGCAAGTCTTACACTTGCTTAGGTAGAAATAAAACATAGGAGCCAAAGATACCATCAAGCTGTGTGGGGCAGGACAATCAGTTCACATGGGTCACACCCTGCTACCCCCGGACCTGGGTTCATGAGGGACACCTCACTGAAGCAGGGCAGGACTCTGCTTCCACTCCACCAGCCTCAGGCACGTGCCCACCAGTTCACAGTGGAAATTCAGAGGTTTCAGGACACTGGCCTGAAAACTAACGCCACCACACATCTATGTGAGTATATACTAGTCTATAAGGAGACACAGAACATCTGTAAAAGTCACCAAGAAGTAATTAGCAATCAGACCTGTTATGTTTAGAAAGTCACCAAGAACAACTCTAGGCAGTGTTATTTGTGTAATAAAATGCTGCCCCTGCCACCACCACCACCCCAAGCATACTTTCTTGATTACATCTGCAAAAAATTCTAAGGCAGAAGTCTAGAAGTCAGGATGGTGGTTGCCTTTTGGGAAGAGTGTGACTCAGAGTGGGTGTTGGTGGTGGTTTATGGGGTACTGCCAATCTTCTGATTCTTGGTCTGGGCACTAATTTCATGGTTATAAATACAGGTGTGCTTTTCTCCATCTGTGTTACACTGTGATAAAAGTTTAGTGCTGCCTGCAGCACTGGCATCCCATATGGGCACCAGTTGGAGTCCTGGCTACTCTACTTCCAGTCCAGCTCCCTGCTAATTGTGCCTGGGTATGCAGCAGAGGATAGCCCAAGTGCTTGGGTCCCTGCACCCACATGGCAAACACAGAAAAAGCTCCTGGAGCCGGCGCTGTGGCACAGCAGGTTAATGCCCTGGCCTGAAGCGATGGGATCCCATGTGGGTACTGGTTCGAGACCCAGCTGCTCCACCTCTGATTCAGCTCTCTGTTATGGCCTGGGAAAGCAGTAGAAAATGGCCCAAGTCCTTGGATCCCTGCACCCATGTGGGAGACCCAGAAGAAGCTCCTGGCTTCAGATCAGTGCAGCTCTGGCCATTGTGGCCAATTGGGGAGTGAACCAGCGGATGGAAGACTTCTCTCTATATCTCTGTCTCTCCCTCTCTGTGTAACTATGACTTTCAAATAAATAAATAAATCTTTAAAAAAAAAAAGAAACAAGCTCCTGACAAGCCCATTTCTGGCACTGCAGACATTTGGGGAGTGAACCAGTGAATGGAAGACCTCTTTCTCTCCCCCCTCTCTCTGTAACTCTGCCTTTCAAATAAGTAAATCTTTAAAATAACATATAAGTGTATGTGTGTATGTATGTATGGTTAAAACTCCCCAAGTAAGGGCCCGGCATTTAGCCTGCATCCCATGGCAGAGTGCCTAATACCTGGCTCCAGCTTCGGATTCCAGCTTCCTGCTAGTGCAGACAGTGGGGGGGGCAGCAGGCAGGTGACAGCCACGTGAGAGACCTAGCTCAGGCCACGCCCTGCCCGCACCATTATAAGCATCTGGGGAGTGATCCAGCAGAGGAGAGATTGCTCTCTGTCTCTCAAATTCCCCAGGTGACAGAGCTGTGAAGTTACAGTGGCAGGCAGAGAATCTCGACTCCACCAGGAAAGCCGTGGGAGCCCAGCACGGCCTCACAGTGGGCAGGTTCAGAATGCGGGGCATGACCTTTAAGCATCCTCAACCTATCTGCTGTATAGCAGCTCCTCAGGGTGTTTATAAATATGTAAGACCGTCTGGCTTTATACAAACACAAGCAAACCTCTGTTCTTTTTCCTAGAATCATTTGGCTGCCAGGACATGGCCGTGTCTGACATTGTTTTTGCATACTCTTAACTCCCCAATGTCCTAATATGTAGACAAGGTTGAGAATAACTGCTCCACAGCTTGGTGGTGGAGAGGGGGAGGAGGGAGAGGGTTTTTTTTAATGATTTAGCCAGGTTTTCAAAGTTACTCCAATTATTTTACATGTTTACTCTGATGCCTACACCACGGACATGCATTTCTCACTTTGAAATGCTCCTGGAGCCTGGATCTCAGTGCTTGCTGCTGTGTTAGACATCCCTCATTTTCATTTGCTGTGGGATCAAAGCAGCTTTGGAACTCTGAACACCCTGGATGCCCAGCAGGACAAGCTAGCAGCACTCTCCAAACACTCCAAACTCTCCAAATTCATCCAAACACTCCAAACATCCCGAAAGCACCCCCACCCAAGAACACCCTCCCCCATGAGAAGCAAACGCCCTCCTCTCTGGTTCTCTGCCCTGGCCCCGGCATCCTCAGCCCTGAACCACTCCTGCCCCAAGTTCTGGGCTAGAAAGTGCAACGGAAAGAGCAGCAACAAATCCACTTGCCGGGCTCAAGCTCAGCATCGCGTTCAGCTTCAGGGGGAGCTGATAATTTTAGTTGCTATTTAAAAATCAATATTACCCAGAGTTTCTCCTTTTTTCCTAAATTCAACTGAATCACAATTAAATGTTGACGTTCCTCGTGGCACTAGCCTTGGCTCTCCTTCTCTTTCAGTCAGGTCATCAACTGCCACCTCACCCTGGCCTCTCCCGTTTGCATTTGTATTCCATAATCCTGAGCTATTAACTTCTACGTGGGATTAACTAGTATCTCCGCGTGGACCTCCCGAACTCGGTGTCCAAACCCTGCCCCCGTCACTGCCTGTCACTGAACTGCCCAAGCTCAGAGGTCTCTGATTCTTTCTGGACTGCTTCCTCTCCAACGTATACCAAGTGTTGCCAGTGTTACTTCTGAAATGCCTCTCAAAAAATAAGCCCACTTCTTTGTCGCCTCCACGCCCATCCACCCACCCCACTCCCACCCCACCCCCATCCCAGCTGCATTCCTGGCCCCCAACAGGAAGTCAACCTCACACTCTCCAACACCCTGGGGCTCGTATGACTGTAGTTGGTCTATATTTGTGTGGTTATCTGTTTGGCTGCCTCAGAAACCCAGGTTTCCCAATCGTCTGAGCTCTAGCAGGATAGGAACCGTGTCTGTCTGCTCACAGCCATGCCCCTCATGCCTTACAGCCTGGCACGTAAATACTCTGGGTAAAATAACAGACCTTACAGCCAACATTTCACCCAACCTCATGACATTCGATCTCTTGAACTCTCTTAAATATGAAAACAAAAGCACCCTTTCAAAAAATTACTCCTTTCTTTCTGAAGCTTTGGTGAAAGGGGCAGCGGAGTTTGAGGGCCCTGCAGAGTGGGTTGTCCTTCTCTTCCCCAGCTGGAACCCACCCCAGCGTGGTGGCGCCTTCAGGGCTCTTACCTGGACCAGCTCAGCAGCAACATTGAGTCGGAGAGAGAGGGGCAGTTCCTGAAGTGCTCGGACCAGTGACTCGCTGTCCAGGTAGAACGCCGAATTCTACGTATGTTTAAAGAAAGAAGGAAGACGTGATCGGGTGACGATTAAGTGTGACCGTCTGAAAACAACGGAGCGGAAGATGCAAGTAACTGTAAACAAGTCGTTCGTTGGCTGAGAGTCCATCAGATCAGAAATCACGCTTGATGAACTAGAATTTTTCCCTCAGCAGAACCGAAACTACCTTCTTGGGCCACAGCTCACATGTCAGAGCCGCAGCCGGGTAGCAGCCATCCCCATGCCGGCACTGCACAGTACCTGCCAACCACAGGGGCTGTCTCTACTACCGGCAAGCTGGGAGAGGAACAAGCATGTCACGGAATCAATCTGGACACCTCCCCTAAACTCTGGTTTCTGGCCTCAGGGAGGAGAGACGAGAGCGGCTCAGGTGGCGAGAGGGGGTGGAGAGGCCTCGGAAGGAGACGGTAATGCCTATTTCTCCTTGAGCCAGAAAGCAGAGAATGGAAACTGGCCCTCGCACAGACTGAGGCCAACACTAAAATCTTCCTCTGATGCAGTTCCCATCATAGAAGTCAAGTCATGCGGCCAGTGCTGTGGTGCAGTGGATTACACCACAGCCTGCAGCGCCAGCATCCCATATGGACGCCGGCTGAGTGCCAGCTGCCCCACTTCCAATCCAGCTCCCTGCTGGTGTGCCCGGGAAAGCAGCAGATGATGGCTTAAGTACTTGGGTTCCTAGCCTCCGTGTGGGAGTCCTGGGCAGAATTCCAGGCTCCTGGCTTCAGTGTGTCCTAACCCTGGCTGTTGCAGCCATGCGGGAAGTGAACCAGAAGATGAAAAAGATCTCCCTTTCCCTCCCTTCCCTTCCCTCCCCCTCTCCCTCCCTCCTGGACACTCTGCCTTTCAAATAAACAAATATCATTTTTAAAAAAAAGTGGTCATAATTATCACACACAGAGAGGGAACAGCACTGACCACCCGGCCTCCCAAGGACCATCACCGGCCCAGCTAGGACCAAGTCTTATCTAGAATCACCGACTTCAGGCTACACAAAATCCAGAGGTCTTGTAGTCTCATCTCTGCTCCAGGGCAGAAGCACCTTACACAGATGGGCTGATCACGGCCGGACATGGAGCCGTATTCTCGGTGGGCTCAGAGCCCTGTCACCAAATCCAGACCCACCCTAACCACTGCCCACACCACAGTAGGACACGGGGACTGAAAGAAATGATTTGGGTTTTCAGCTGCCCTTCTTGAACTGTCTTACGTAGGCAATGCTGACAGCACCAATTATGGCCCCACTACCCTGGAAAAAAAGTATTCACATATAAAAAACCCAAGTGCACACCAGGACAGGATGGAAAACAAGACCCTGATAAGAACATGGGAGACTAAACACACGCTCAGGCCATTCCCTCCTGAACACAGCACATTAAGCCTCGGCTCAAGACCATCATGGCTCAGCCTTTGTTCTCAAGTTTAGAAAAACTGTTTCATCCACTGGAAAGTTATGACCCTGAGTGTTTAACCCAGGGAGAAGTCACCACATCAGAAACCACAAAGTTCACTCTTCCTAGTGCCAAGTGTCTGCAAAGTCTCACTTCCCACGGTGTTTCTGCTAGCCACTCTCACATGTTGCTCTCTAGAGGAGGACCACGGAGACCGCTGCAGTCTGGCTCCAGGGATCCACATGGCCTCGGGCCTCTTCTATGCCACGTACAACACGGTCACAAGGTGTATCACGAACAACGGAAAGTTTGTGAGCCGGGGACCCAGGGACTCGACTGGCTACGTGAGCTGTGCTCCAAGTGTGTCCCCTGTGCAGCCTCCTCCCACTCTTCTAACCCCACCCATCACCCACCTCCCCGCTGACACTGCACCGTGTCCACAGTGCCTTCACAACTCTGCATTCCATAGATTTCTCTTCCACCCCGGGGGCAGTCCTGGGACCCAGACCCACCACCACAAGCTACCTTCTAAGGCTTTCTCTTGGTGGTCAGTAACTGGTCTCATCGTGGGCTTATGCCTCAGTTGGCGGAAATGAATTGCTTACTAACAGTAACTCATGAATTTTAAAAATAGGTTAATTGGAATAATAGCATGAGTTAGCTTTTTGCTACATGTTTTAAAGCAACTGCTGGATACTTCTGCTTGGAAAGCCCATCCCCCACATTGGCCAACTCTGCTGGCCACTAAGAGAGGCAGACAGTGCTCACTAATGTCGTGAGGGAGGGTGGAGAGAGGAGGAGGACACCCTGACACCTTCTTATCTGTACACTCTGAGGCTGCGAGGAGGAAGCCAACCTTGACTGCCAGAGCAAAGTCCCCCAACCCACCTGTCTTCCAGCAGCATGCGGAGAGAATGCACAGGAGCCCCATCAGCCCCTGGGTAAAGCACACTCCTGGGTGAGAAAAGAACCTGCTATAAACTCCACTCTGCAGCCAAAAGAGAGCCTTTGCCCAGACCATTATGCCTACCCCAGAACCCACAGCACGCACGTCTGTGTCTGGCGCTCAGGAACCACGTGCAGACCATACGCTGGAAATGCCCACATTGAGTAGCACTTTGGAATAAGCTGGGAAGGTGTTGTAAGGTTCCTATTCTCATGCCTGGCTCACAGAACCATCCTCTGCCCCGGGGTGGAGCTGAGGCCTGGGGGTCCACACCTTTACGCCAGGCACTCAGGAACCACTGCATATCACTGGCACCTGCCAGCTGTTTAGGAAAGGACAAATGAAGAAAAACCGAAAAGAGAATAAAAACTGTCATGTGACTTTCATCTGTTTTTTTTTTTTTTTTTCCTCCCAAAGAAGGTGTTCTTCCCACTTAGTCTCTCCTGCCACGGCCCTACACTGTTCAAAAAAAACAGCTGCACATCCCAGCCCTGGATCTAAGGGAAAGACTCCCCCATAGAGAGGTAGGCCCACCCAGCTGACGACGGGCCCCAATGCCAGGTGGTGTCCCCGTCACCCTGCCTGTTAGCTACCGAGGAAGAAACCAAGTCAAAGCTGTGATGCTGGGTCCCGCTCCTGACAACCCATCCCACAACCAAAGTCCCACTCCCTTCCAACTGCAAAGACAAACACATTCCCACTTTCCCACTTCACTTCATTGTCTTAGGTCACTGGTCCCACAGGGGAGGTGGGAGGGCCTGCAGAAAACACATTTACTTGTCTCCCTATCCATTTTCATCTTTCTCTCTCGCAAGTAAGTGAGAGGAAAAAAACTGGGCAGTTAAGTGAGACAGGAAATGGTTTTGATGGGGAGATGGTGAATCCCACTTCAGACATATCCTACCACACCTCAGAATCACACTGAACTTGCTGCTCTTCCTTTGTTCCACGGATGGGCATCGCCACTCATCTTGTTCCTGAGGCTGGAAAGCTCAGGGCCACTGCAAATCTTCCTCAGCCTGTCTCACGCCCGGTCAATGACCACCGTGTACCTCACGCTCCCCAGGAGTCCTGTCCATCTGCAATCTCCATTTGCACCCTCACTCTCCGCACTTAGTCAAATGCTCGTCCTGCCCCGTTCACAACAGCTTCCTAACTGGTTTTCCTGGATCTGTGCTGTCCCTCTTTCCCAACGCTGCTGAGGTCAAGTGTAAGCATTTCCATGTTCTTACCAAACAAAACTCTGCTAACAAACGATTTTAGTAAGATGAAGGTTTCATGTACATCACAAACTGCACTGAAAGGCAGTTTAATCCTCCTTACAACTCCAAGTGACATTTTGTAAGCTCCACTTTACAGGTGAGAAGACAGAAGGAATGAAGTTTGCCCAAGTCATAGAACTACGATTCACACTCAGGTCTGCCTCTCCAACGTCTATGTTCTCACCCATATACTAAGCGCCCCTAAAGAGCGTGGAGATCAAACGGCCGGTACTAACAGCAGCAGCTCATCCCTCCTCTGGGAATTCTACACTCAGCTTCACTCCCCACCTCGGTCCTTGGACAGGACCTACCAGAATCATACTCAGTCACCAAGACCCATTCAAGTGATCTTTCCCCATAGCAGTGTTCCTAGCCACTTCCAGACCAAGACAGCGGGCTCCCACTGCACAATGCACTTTATGCTGCTTTCCTTTTCGCTTATTATGTAAACATCTGCCAAGCATCTACTGTAGGGTGACCACCGTGCTCAGGTTAAGAGACCCAAAGCAATTAGCAGGCACCATCTCTGTCTTACTCACTTGCATATGCTGCATCTACCAAGGCATCTAGTAAAGAACACGGTTTTTGCATTTTGATGAAGAAACTTGGAATCATTTGAAATTCTCAAGGTATTTTAAATACCCTGATATTTCATTTGATTCAAAAGGGGTTGAAAGGTGAATTTTTTGACTTTCACAGTTGTATTACTTAGCTTCTCATCAGTGTAATGAGATACCTGAGAAAACTTAACTTTACAAAGAGGAAAGGTCTATTTAGCTCACAGTTTTGTAAGTTCAAAGTCCAAGATTGAGTGGTACCATTGCTCTGGCCTCTGGTGGGGATGGGGGTGGCAGATGAAAATGGCTGGAGCATGTGTCAGAGCAACTGGTTACACCCTGGGCCAGGAAGCAAAGAGAACGGCAGAGCCCACCTCAGACTTTCACAGGCAGCCTTCTCATGAGAACACCCCTCAGCGGCCAAGCCCCAGTGACCTGAGGACTTCCCACTAGGCTGACCTCCTGAACACCATAACTGGATTAAATTGCAACTCTCTCAGTACCATTAACTCTACCATTCACTCACAACCTTGGGGGTTAAACGCCTGCATGAATTTGGGGGCCAAGTTCTATTCAAACTAGAGCAACTGTACTCCTCAACAATCTCAATTTGTCCACCTTTAATCAATTTGTCCCACAATTCTAAACCACATGTCATGCATATGTCCCGGAAGACGTAACCAAAGGCAAAAATTTTAATGCTCATTTTCTATGATGTACATAATGCACTCTTTATAAAAAGTGTTGAGAAGTCATTTACAGGTGACAATGGAGTGAATGTCCAGACCAAAGATGAAATGGGACATTTAGGGGGAACACCTCAGTTACAAGGACCTGTCATAGAAGAATGGCAAAAGGAGAATGGACAAATGGCAGGGTCATCAATTTTGTCCAATTCATGGCTACAAAGCTCCTATCAAGTGACCCAATCTGCATTGGCACCTCACTCAAATGGCCACCTGTATAACTTTAGCCTCCCCAAAATTTTCTGAACTGCTTGTATACATGCTAATCAGCTGCACATGAGTTACTACTCCAAACTCTATCTCCAAACACTAAAGTAAAAGGTGTCATCCTATAGCCTGGAGAAGAGCCAATCCACGCTAAAGAAAATTTTCTCTTACCTGTTTTGGACATGAAGCTTCACTATCCCATTCTTTCTCTTCAGCAAACCGGAACTGTGAGAAGGAGTCCCCTAGGTAAGGAGAAAAAAACATACGGGTCTATGAAAAGGCCAAAGGAAAAAATTCAGCTTTCTATCCCTGTGGGAGCAAACGCACCATTTCTGAAGAGCTAACCCTCCTTCCTGAATTCAGTGACATCATATTGCAAGGTCCTGGCTTCCACACCTTACACATTGATGGGCATTCAAAAGATGCTTTTGGCAACTACACTCACCGCTTCATACAATTACCAGTAAGCTACCATCTGACATGCTTGAGACACAGCTAATCAGCTCAGGCCTGCAGACAAGGCCATCTAGTGGTATGTGGGATATTTCCCTCTCCTCTGCTAATGTAGGCAAGGGAATTTTTATTTAGGATTTGAGGAGTGGGCAATATAGGGCAGGGTCGGGGGGCAAATAACACAATAAAAAAATATAGCCTGGGAAAGCAGTAGAAGATGGCCCAAGGCCTTGGGCCCCTGCACCTGTGTGGGGGACCTAGAAGAAGCCCCTGGCTCCTGGCCTTGGACCAGCTCAGCTCCAGCCATTGTGGTCATCTGGGGGAGTGAACCAGCAGATGGAAGACCTCTCCCTCTCTCTGCCTCTGCCTCTCCATAACTCTGCCTTTTGGTTAAATAAATAAATCTTTAAACAAACAAAAAAATCATGGTGCACCGCTCTGTGATTCTGTGAGGTAAGGAAACATGAACAACACGTGAGAGCACCATAACTCCTGCCCATTATAACCCTATGCGGTAAGCCTGCCATAGGCTCGTTTTATACGTGTATGTGTATCTCACTAAGAACAGTTCACTCATAAGTTAATTATTCCTCAGTCTAGCTTCCTGATCCTTCAAAATGTGGCTGTACTTCATTAACACAACACTTAACTATGTCTTCAGACTTTATGCTTTCAGAGGTAGCCTCTGTTCACACTCCAGCCTATTCCATGCCCCATCCGACTGTTGTTTCTTATTTCATCCTTTCCTCTCGTCTTGAAGACCTCTATGCTGCTACCATTCATATCCTACTTATAGTTCAACAAACAAGAACAGGCCCACTTCTTTCTTCAAAGCATCTAGACATAGAATTTGTTCTTTACTTCTGAATGAATACTGGGAGACAAGGAAATAAACTCCAACAAAGACATAGATAAAAATGCAACTAGAACTCACCTATAACACCACCATTTCTAAAACACAAACATCACAGCAATAACTTTCAGTAAGATCAAGTACAAGGCACAAGGGGAAAAAAAAAAAAAGGTAAAACCAGTACTCTTAGACATTAGTAAATCAATGGTCAATGTGATGCCTCAAGAATTAAGATATCAAAAATGTGCTGGGAAAATTGGATCTCTGCATGCAGAATTATGAAGTAAGACCCCTATGTTATACCTTACACAAAAATAAACTCAAAATGAATCAAATATCTAAATGTAAAACTTGATACCATCAAATCACTATAGGAGAACATTGGGGAAACTCTGCAAGACATTGGCATAGGCAAAGACTTTTTGAAAAACATCCCAGAAGTACTGGCAATAAAAGCATAAATACAAAAACAGGGTTATAGCAAGGTAAGAAGCTTCTGCAAGACAAAGAAAACACTCAACAAAGTTAAGAGGCAACAGACAGAATGGGAGAAAATATCTGTAAACTATTAAACTGATAAGAGACTAATATTCAGAATCTATGAAAAGCTTAAGAACCTCAACAATAAAAGAAACAATATAGTTAAGAAATGGGAAAAAGACTTCAATGGGCATTTTTCAAAGGATGAAATTCAAATGGCCAACAGACACATGAAAAAATGCTCAGGATCACTATCCATCAAGGAAATACAAATCAAAATCACAATGAGATTTCACCTCACCCAGTTAGAATGGCTCTCATACAGAACAAAAAACCATACACAATGTCAAGGATGTGGGAGAAAAAGATACCCTAATCTATTGTTGGTGGGAATGTAAAATAGTACAGTGATTGTAGAAGACAGTGTAGAGATTCCTCAGAAATCTAGATCTACCACATGACCCAGCCATCCCACTGCTGGGAGTTTACCCAAACAAAATGAAATCAGCATATGCGAGAGTTATCTGGACCCTTATGTTTTTTTTTTTTTTTTTTTTTTGACAGGCAGAGTGGACAGTGAGAGAGAGAGACAGAGAGAAAGGTCTTCCTTTGCCGCTGGTTCACCCTCCAATGGCCGCCGCTGCAGCCGGCGCACCGCGCTGATCCTGGCAGGAGCCAGGAGCCAGGTGCTTTTCCTGGTCTCCCATGGGGTGCAGGGCCCAAGCACCTGGGCCATCCTCCACTGCACTCCCTGGCCATAGCAGAGAGCTGGCCTGGAAGAGGGGCAACCGGGACAGAATCCGGTGCCCCAACCGGGACTAGAACCCGGTGTGCTGGCGCCGCAAGGTGGAGGATTAGCCTATTGAGCCACGGCGCCGGCTTGGACCCTTATGTTTATTGCAGCTCAGTTCACAATAACTAAGATACAGAATCAACCCAGATGTCCACCAACTGGTGACTAGATAAAGAAAATGGACTATATATACACTATCAATTACTACTCAGCCATAAAAAAGCATGAAATCTTGTCTTTTGCAACAAAATGGATGCAACTGGAAACCATTATACTTAGTGAAACAAACCAGTCCCCAAAAGATAATTATGTTTTCTCTGATTTGTAGTAATAATAGAGTACAAAAGAGTATATAAGTGAAACTGACATTTTGAGATGATGATTATTTATAGCCCTTGTCTACTATTGAGAAACAATGTTTTTTTTTTCTTTTCTTCTTATTGCTTGAATTTTTTACTTCTTAGAGGGTTAAGCTTACCATTATAAAATAAACTGAAAGTATGTCATTGTCAAAATTAAAAGGAAGAATAAGAAAGAAAGGAGGAGGGAGGGTAGAAGGTGGGTGGAAGGCATGGTAGAGTAGGACATATACTCCTAAACCTGTATATGAAATACATGAAATTTTTTCACTTTATATAAATTATTTTTAAAGACTAAAAAAGGGCCTGAATTAATACAAATTAACCCATAACACACGAGAAAGATGTTTTCAGAAAAATTTAAATACTTTCATTATCAAGAAATGAAAATAGAGCAGTCAATTGCTTTACAAAGATAGAAAAAAGCAAAATATACATACACAGAAGTTGGTGAAAAAGAACCAGAGATGAGTTTAATTAAATAAAATTTTTAATTAAATGAAATTTTCTTATCTAAATAACTAAAAGCCAGGACTATATCTAAAATAAAGCTAATATCACTGTTGTCAAATAATTTTGCAAAGGGCAGCCCATGTAATTAGATGAAAATGAATTAAATGGTATTCAACTCAAAAAGAAGACAAAAATATGGTAATCTGGAGAAAATGTACTTTGTGCCTAAAAAAGGGAATAAGTGACAAAGGATTGAGAAAGGTGGCCCCGTTACACAGTGCTTTTAACAATGAATGCATCCTATATCGCTCCAGCTTGATTCATTTGCCAGAAGACATGCTTGTCTTTCACGCTAACAACATGGCCAATCTGACTGAAGCAGAGTAGAACAGAAAAATCAGTAAAAGAGACAGTTCCAGCCAACAGTTATAAACAATGGGACAAACATGGTGCGGTATCTTGTGTCCTAAGACTCATCGGCTGTGTCCTCGGGAATTGTAACCAGTGTGACGACAGAACTAGAACCACAAAGGCAGCAACGCCACCTTCCTCCTCCTCCTTCAACCAGACTCATTTCATGACTTACAAGAGACTAGAGCACTGGCTCGTGGTATACTTACTCAACAGCCTCACAAGATAGAAGAGCAGTCCGGGCCTGTTAGTTAGCTTGCACAACCAACAAAATCCCATTAGAGTCTACTTTGCAGATATGAGTATCAAAATGGCAGGCCAATAAACCCAGTGACTGCTTAAGAAAGTATTTTATTCATTAGAATTTTCTTTAAAAGAAATGCAGAAGCAAAACTGAGGTACACTGAGAGTTCACATTTTCCTCACATGACAAAAAGCCTCACATCATTCTATTCCAGCAACAATGCTGAAATTGATATGTATGCAATGAACCATGGTACTGACATAATTTTGTTGTATTTTAAGTCAATAATTTCCACATTTCTAGAGTCCAAATTAATGAGATTTTTTAAAATGAAATAATTTTATGAATCAGCAAAAGTATCAGAAAAGCAGAGATAAAAGAAATAACAGACAGCAGTGACCTTAAGCACTTTTGAAAACATTCAAAAGACAATGTTTCAGGCAGTGCCTAATGTTACAGTTTCTGGGACTGTTTCAAAACTCAGGACCATCAAATCTCCAATGTAGGGACTGATGAAGTGATGCCTTCATCTAGTCAAAGAGTCTCTGAGAGGACACGTTTAACTGATGAGGCACAACACTGCCATTACCAGCAATCCATTCTAGCAGAGCTCATCAATCTTACTCCTCTACCCACCTCAGTTCAGAGCTAACATCTATTTAGTATTGAAAATATGTGGTATAGTATAGTGACTGCCAGTGCAATCTAACAGCTGACAGTGGTGTCTATGCCTTGAATTGTCAACATTTAAATATTTAAACAGTGACATTCTATGAGATCATTTAAAAAATAGATCTATATAACTAATACAAAAAGATAGCCATTATCTCAACTGTTAAGTGAAAAAGCAAGTTTTAGTATGAGTAAGCTATACATATATAAGCAAATATATCACAAAAATACAAATTTATACATTGAGATGAGTCAAGACAATTACATTCCTATGTTAAGAATGGTTATCTTTCAGAGGCAGAAAAAGGAGACTTTTCCTTTCTGTGTAACACATTGCTCCAGCTGAATTTCCCTTGGTAAAGAGCAAGCACGTGTTACTTCTGGAATGGAACCAAACAGAAATAAGGAACTCCAGGGGGAAAATGAATTTTCTTCCAAAGATGAACTTAAGACAAAAAAATCCATAGATTTCCAAAGCAAGAGCCACAGCTGTCTCTCATTCTCACCCAACATTCATTCTTACA